AGTTCCTACTATCTCTGAAACAATTTTAACCCCACTGCGAAGCCTCAACTAATAGTTGATTCTTAAATTGCATGAAGGGGTTATGTTAACTTTTTTGGAAAAAACGATAGTATTTAGATGTCCAGATGAAAATATATACAGATAAAGACCAATCTTTTTTGAATACTACTCAATTTGCCCACAGGTGACAGGTCACAAACTGTGTTGATGGCAGAACCATGCACAGACTAAAATATGAATAAGTCACTCTGCTTTTTAACAGTGAGTGTAAAACCAGGGAATCACAGATCAGTTGGCCGAACATCTGTGGTGGGGATATTGTCAGAGCTTGTAATCAAAGAGCACCTTGAAAACTTTCAATTAATCAAGGAGAATCAGCATGGATTCATGGCAGATATCTGACAAACTCCATTGAATTTCGTTTTGAAAAAAGGTCACTAAGGTGACAGCAGAATGTCTATGGATATTGATTATATGGACTTCCAGAAGGCATTTGATAAAGTCTCACATAAGAGACTGTTAACTAAAAAGGTACAAACCTATGGATATGAAGGCAAGTTACTGATGTGGCTGGGAAACTTGTTGAATGGCAGTGGCAGAAAGTAGGGACAACGGGTAGATACTCAAATTAGTAGGACGTGACCACTGGTGTCTTACAAGGATCTGTGTTAGGGCCTCGGTTATTCATGCTATTTATTAACGATTTGGATAGTAGCACAGAAAGCCATATATCCAAATTTGCTGATGGCAGTAAGATAAGTGACACTGAAGACTGTGTAGACGATAGTATAAAATTACAAAGGGATATCGATGGGTGGACAACATTCTTGGATGGTCTCTAGAGATTCACGTGAGTGAAAGGAAGCTACACAGATATCCAAGATATAATTCTTCCTCTAACACATTTATAAAAAAAAATTTATTTTTAGCTTTGATATCACATTGAATTCTTTTCATATTTTCATTTACATCTTTTATTTACTTCACTGAATATTTTGTTGCATTTTATAGTTCTCCCAGACTAGGCAATTTTCAGTTCTCATTATGTTTGTGCAAGCTTTTTATTTTAGTTTGATTTTGGCTCATCTGCTGACCACAGGTGCTTAACTGCACAAATTACATATTTCCTTTCGATTGTATGTACTTATAGGACAAATTGTGGGACAGCTATGACTTTGTGCAATAGTACACCACAAATGACAAGTCAACATGGTAAGCCAAACCTCAACTTAGAGAGTCATAACAGACCCTTCAGTCCAACTCATCTGTGGTGGCCAGACGTCCCAATCTGACCTAGTCCTATTTGTCAGGATTTGGCCCATATGCCTCTTAAACTCCTCCTATTCATATACTCATCCAGATGCCTCTTAAAATGCTGTAACTGTACCCACTTCCAGCACGTTCTCTGGTAGCTCATTGTATAGACGCATCACCCTCTGCATGAGCATGTTATCCCTCAGGTATTTTTTTCAAATCTTTCCCGTCTCACATTAAACCTATGCCCTCTAGTTTTGGACTCACCAAGCAGAGGAAAATGACCTTAGATATTCAACTTCTAACCAAACATAGTCCTGGAGTGTATATATATCGATTATATAAACAACAAAAACTTCCTAAATCTAATTTTAATCTGTTCTAACTGGCTGGGGATCCAAAATCCAAGTCAATTTAATGAGTAATGTCCTAAATCATTACAATAAAACAGAGTATTTACATTACTGAGGGTAACAGTGAAGGTGCAATGGAATGGTACACTTATCCTTGGCACGTAATAATGACTTATTCATGGAAACTATTTCACAGGGCAATGTGTTATACCAAAAAGATTGCTTCCATTGGAAAAAAATAGGTTTGTATTATGAATGTAGGAAATCTGGTTATTCTTCATGTAATGCAGTCATCTCAATGCTCTCTAAAAACTGTTGTGCACAAGAACAATCTTCAGCTTACATAAACAAACTCTAAGCAGTATAATGAATTAAATGATACATCTAGCTTAAATAGTAAATTTCTACATCATGAAAGAATCAAATCATCAGCTCCTCAGACAGTAAACAGCCAACTACACTGTCCAAATTCAACATTTCTCAGTGGAAAAAAAAATGGAGCCTGTTGCAGTACAAATGTTCACTGATAAATTTTCTTTCAAGCATATGAACTTGAGATGATAACTTAATTCTATCAATTGAATTGCATTTAATGGAAAGCAAAGACTCAATCTTAACCACTTTAAAAAATCATGCAAATAAATATTGCATCATATTAATATGGAAACATCTATTTGATTTTCGAAGAATATTCCAAATTTAAATAGCAATTATGTTACTGTTTCTAGGATGTAAGTGAGGTATATCATTACCTTTGCAATGCAATTCCTGTTGATCCTTTCAACTTGCACAGTAGTGCAGGAGAGTACGATATTCATGAGCTAATCCTTGCCTATTTAAAGCTCGCTCATTTCCTAACCAGAGTGACAAGGTGGAGACAGAAAGGACTGCAGACGCTGGAAGCTAAAGTCAAAATATGTGGAGCTGGAAAAGCACAAGTCAGGCAGAATCCGAGGAGCAGGAAAGTCGATGTTTTGGGTTGGCCCCCTTCTTCAGGACTCCGATATATTTCAATGTACACTCCCACCACTTTTTACCTATTGACCAAAGTGCTCCAACAAAGGCTAAACCCATCGCTTCACTTCATCTGGTATATAATATTTGGAATGTTGAATACCCACTAGTTGCTGCATAAAATTTCTGCTGTTCTACACGTGTACTGCTGCAAATTGACAATAATGAGTTATCAGAATACTCTCAACAAAAATGCAAACTTTTCTTTAACAAACCCACGAGACTGAAATTCACCTTACCTGAAGGCATTAACTGGGTCATAGCATATTATCAATTTTCTACATACACGCCAGACTTTTTGATCTCAATTGAAAAGAAAACCATGTGAGTGTTAAGAGAGGCCAATTCTGCCCCTAGTCTATATTGTACTACAGACAGACTTTACAACTACATTATCTCATGTTCTAGGTTCAATTTTAGCAAATACATTCAATCTTAAGACCCCCCTCTGTCCAATACTTCGAGAAAAAGTAATACAAAATGCACTGGTAGCTGCTAGGAATTGATGATGTCACATGTATCTAGAAAGATCGCAAAAAAAGTGTTTTATTGCCACAATCTGGTACCACTTTCAGTTATAAAAAGAATATGAAGGAATTACATGGAATTCATCTCCTGTACAAGGAGTCTTCAAAAACAGCTCCAGGGCTTCTGCAAGGTGTCCCAGGTCTCGAGGAGTCCCCGTTCCAGGAACAGCGATGACAACCCTGCCAGGAGTCCACACTTCAGGCATACCACAACCAAGAGTCTCCACTCCAAACACTGTCACTGCTGCAGCCACCAAGGGACCCTGCTCTGGACACTGTCGCTACCACAGCTGACGACCCACCGAATGCACACTTTGGGCCTACCGCAGTCAGAAGATTTGGTGTTTCAAAGTTCTCTGAGAGAAGGCAAGCAAATTATATGCACTGAGCTACAAAGCATTGCTGGCCTGATGATAAGAAAGGAGCAAGGCAGCTTTGAGACAGTCAAAACTATGTGCTATTTCTCTCAAAATGCAGTCACTGGTTGACTGGTTGCAATCCTGAAGCTGCAGCTGCATTGCTGTTCCTATCCCTCTTGCTATCCGCAGGCCTGGGGTTCACTCTAGCCTGGATGACTGCCTAGGTTTCATTCCCAAACAGCACCAACCTGCAATGTAATGATATGGGCATTGATAGAAATGTAGCTGCCATCTTTGTTCCTGGCAGCTGCATTTCTATCACTTTGCAGTGACATGATACTACAGCCTTCTATAGATTAGATTTAGAATGAAAAGGTCCATCAGTCAGGCTTCTTTAATAATCACAAAATCATTGACTTAAAACATTAATGTTAAATACCTAATGTTCAAATTTGCAGCACAATGGCCAGAAATTCAGAAGGCTATGATCAGATGGAGTGGGAGTCCTACATAAAAACAACAATTCCTTATAGGAAAACTCAAACTCTGCATAAATGTAACATCTGAGTACTTAGGTGAAAATATACTTTGATTTGTGAGAGAACACTGGAGGGGTATATGAACCCACATTAAAGAAACATTGCTTATTTCGAGGGGCTATGGCTTCTGGCCAATACAATTTGACCAATTTTGCACTTTACACTCAATGACATGTATCATTGCAAATGTAAGGTTCATCAAGGTCTGCATCTTCTTTTAACTTGGAATCATAGTACTGTAATTTTATACATTATTTTAATGAAGTCACGCAATCTTTGCACTGATTTGCTCAAGGCACCACACTTTACAATTGAATTATTAACTTGGCAGCAGAAATAATCACCAACAGTAATCAAGTTATTATTCCCAGATGTCTTCAGAATTGACAAAACTTAATATAAATGAACAAGATGTTTTTTAAAATACTGTATTAGTTACAACCTCTCCAAATTAAACTGACCTAAACAAAATTCAAAACATGAAAGTGTTAAATATTCTCCAAATCACAAATATGCGAATACTAGGAATAATTCAAATACCTCTTCTGCAAAATTATCAATACATCTCGAACTGGACAGAGTTCAACAGAAAAACCATACTGGAAGGATATTAACTAGTGAAACGTTTTATCTTTACCATGTCCAATATGATCTTTGTTTGTACTAAAAACTTAAATGCAAAGTGACTGGTGACGATACAGAGAGGTGGGGTTCAGAGGAACTAAAGCAACTTTGGTTAAAATTTCGATTCAGTTATTAACTATATGACATCAATGGCACAACAGATAGGAGTCTATCTGCTATGCTGACCATTGTAATAACACAGTCACAGTCTTATAAAAGTTTCAAATCTTTCACCAGCTATTAACTTTACCTGACAATCTTAATGAAGCACTATCTTCCCTCTTCCAAACAAAGGCAACTGCAGTTAGATAGCTCTAATACAACACTCACCATTCTTCCTCTCATTCAAAGGTGGTAGGTGTGGATTTGGCTGTAGTGTCAGTTCTTGGAATTCGTGGGCAACCATTTCACTTCGAGGGCTTGGGGTTATTAGGCTCTGTAACACTGAATCTTCCAATTCAGAAACTTGTATATGATCCATCACATTCAATAAGATGGTAGGAGCTGCCTGTTGTTCCATATTGACTTGTGCACAGATAACGCTGAAAGGGTGAGAGAAATTGGTGTGTTATTTCTCAGACTAAATATTGTCAATTTTAAAAGAAACAAATCAGCTGGACAAAGTTTAAAACTTTTATGTTGTGTCGAAACACGTATTTACCATATAGATAAATCCATGGACTTGGTCTCTTTTCAATTTAATCTTAATATACTTTTATTAATAATATACACTTAAACTAAAGTTGATTTTTCTTTTAAAAGTCTATACCTTTCCATCTAATGATTATTTTCTCACAAAAGAACAATCTGTGCTATTGGCACAAGATTCAGTTTTTATCCTTTACGGCCCAAACTAGATTCCAAAATAATTCAACAACATATTAGCACTGGATATGTAGTTAGTACATATATGGGAAGAAAGGAAGGTTGAAAGAACTTGCATTTATGCAACACCCATCAAATCCGCAGGACACACAAAATATGATCAATGAATGAATTGGGAAAATTTGGAAACTGGCTAAATAACCAGCAGCTCACATTCGGATTGATCCAGCTCGATCAATATGCAGAAATCACAATGTCACAAAATGTGCTGTCTCATACGGTGATGAATACAAAAACAAAGGCTCAATGCCAATGTAGCAAGAAATAAATCATTTTATATTTAAAAAACAAAAGAACTGAGGATGCTGTAAATTAGGAACAAAAACAGAAGTTGCTGGAAAAGCTCAGCAGGTCTGGTAGCATCTGTGAAAGAAAAAACAGAGTTAATGTTTCAGGTCCCGTTCTGAGGAAGGGTCACCGGATCCGAAACGTTAACCCTGTTTTCTCCTTCACAGATGCTGCCAGACCTGCTGAGCTTTTCCAGCAACTGTGGTTTTGTTCCTGCATTTTATAACTAGAAGTTCTTCCGTTTTCCAAAGCTATCATTACTATCATTACACAAAGTGAGCGAGCACCAGGACAGTGTGTGAGCAGCTGAGATGTAGCCTGGTCAAAACCATGAGCCAGGGTCTGTGAACAAAGTGTGCCTGGTGCAGCCTTTCAATGCCAGTTGCCAGCATGCCCTGTAATGCAAATCTGTGCTTGTACAGCACGTTGCCAGTGCTTCGTGAGAGATTGCTGGATGCTGTATGACAATATTTGTGGAGAAAAAGTGGGTGTGGCTGGTGCCTGTGGATCATGCTCTGGGTTGTAATTTGGTCACAGTAAGCAGAGAGCTGAATCCACTAGGTGCACGCTCTTGTTTCCATGTTGAGTTTTTCCAACTTGTTTGGAGACTGCACGCTAACTCAGTTGCACCATCAAGGCATTTAACAAGCAATATGCCCCCTTAATTGGCAACTTCCCACATGGTCAAGAGCAAAAAATGCACCAAGTTGCTCCCAAAATCAAGATGGAGCTTGCCCAATTCCTCATCCAATTCTGCCACATAACTGGTCATAGTCCACATTGGGTAGAATCTTTTAGGGCTCTGAGCAATCTGATTTACTCACTATGAACAGCACACAATAAAAGCAGAAAGCATCAGATAAAAACAGGCGAATAGTTAACATTACTTTCTAAGTATATAAACGTCCTCTACAATTTATAATAATTTTATATTAAGACTTTTTTAAACTGAATATGTCATCATCATTTTGGAAGGCATGATGGCTCAGTGGTTAGCACTGCTGCCTCACAACGCCAGGGCCCTGGGTTCGATTCCACCCTCGGGTAACTGACTGTGTGAAGTTTGTACATTCTCTCCGTATCTGCAGGTGCTCCAGATTCCTCCCAAAGATGTGCAGGTTAGATGGATTGGCCATGCTAAATTTCCCAGTGTCCAAGGATGTGCAGGCTACGTGGCTTAACTATGGGAAATGTAGGGTTCCGAGGACAGGGTATGTGGGTGGGACGCTCTTTGGAGGGTCTGTGTGAGCTCGATGGGCTGAATGGCCTGCCTTCCACATTGTCGGGATTCTATGATTTTGGCAAGGAAAGCTTTGTGCAGTTGCTCCACAACAATGTGGTGGCTACTTTGTCCGTCAATTCTGGCTGTGGTAGCACTCAGATGTTAATTCCAAACTCCAAAGCTCAAAAACCAAATCAAGGCTGACGCTTAGGTGCAGTACTAAAAAAATCGTTGTACTGTCAAGAATTACTGTCCTTCAGATAGGAATTCAAACCTGCTTTCTTAGACTTAAAACATTTTGTGGCACTTTTTAAAAGAAGAGCAGAGAACTCTCCCTGGTGTCTGTTTATTATTCAAACAACACTCTGGAAATCAGCTGTTGTTCATTTTTCACATGGTTACTATAGGACCTAGGATGCCATGTGATCCTATTTTACGAGTAAGTACAGTTCAAAAGTACTTTAATGGTTGTAAATTCACCCAGTCAACATAAATAGACAGATATGGATAAAATCAATCCCGAGAGACAGATTACTTACTTGTTTTGACAAAAAAACCTAACATTTGCTTTTAATGAAAAAAACGTTTGGGAGATTATGTGCAGGATAATCAGTGCATCAGCCTAGCTGGTTCACCATATACAGTGCGCAATCAATCTGAACAAAGAAGAACCAGGTATCTGCATAAATACACTAACAATAAATTAGCAACAAGAATACATATGTACAAGTTTCATACTCCACTTAGGACAATTTCTGGCAGTATAACTTTCAGAGAAGCAAAAACCTTACTCCAGGTAAAACACATAAAACATCAGGATGGTAGTATTCCAGAAAAGCATAGATTACCACCTTGTCCAAAATATGACAGTAAAAATGAAGATGTGCTCTATAATAAGCTGAAACAACTGCCAGATTTAGTTCATGCTCAATAATTTGATTTGCTCAAGAGTGAAATTTACACAAGGCTCATAGATCAACTGACTTATGCTATTACATATATATACACATTGCGTATAGCCAGCATCTTCACACCAATGTGATTCACTCATTATAAATCAGTGCGATGTAAAAGCAGAGACTGCCTGATAAAAACATGTGACATTTATGTAAAGTATTCATCACAGAATCCCTACAATATGGAAGCAGGCCATTCGGCCCATCAAGTCCACAATGACCCTCCAAAGGATATCCCACCCAGACCCACTCTATCCCTGTAACCCTGCATTTCCCATGGCTAATCCACTTAGCCCTTACATCCCTGGGTATTATAGGCAATCTAGCACGGCCAATCTACCCAGCCTGCACATCTCTGGACTGTGGGAGGAAACTGCAACACCCGGAAGAAACCCACAGACCAGGGGAGAATGCGTAAACTCCACACAAACAGCTGCCCGAGGCTGAAATCGATCCTGGGTCCTGGAGCTGTGAGGCAGCAGTGCTAACCACTGAGCCACCATTCCACCCATGTACTTAAATCTGATATAGACTTCTTGCCATGCTGGTCCAAAACCCAGAGAAATAACTCGTACCGGAGCTCCATTAGATGTAATAAAACAATAGTCCCAAAGCAGTTTTTTTGGTGAACCTCTTCTCAAATGGATTCTTAATCAGGTATCTGCAGGCAAATTATAATATTGCATAATATTTATAAGTTAAAAGTGCTGCACATAAACAGTATTTTAATAATGCCTTTAAGAAAACAAGTATTTACCTAGGGATAATGTGGTGGGTATACTTGTTTCATTACAAAGATTGTCTATCCTTGGCAGGAGTATGTAGTAGAGGAGCCCACAGAACGTACAGCATAGTGAAAACACTAAAGTGAGTAATGGGACAGTGGGAGTACTAGAAAAGCAGGAGCAAAAGGAGAATAGAGCAGAGTGAAAAAAGGTGCCCAGTGAAGTGCAGAACTCAGATAGCATGAGTGTGTCAATTTAGATCAAAGCCAAATCAGAGAGACAGAAACCAAGACTCATTGCTTTGTGAATAGAGTTAATACTACTCAGTCTTACTGATCCTTCTAGTCTAAAAGGTCAATTAATCAATCACTGAACTCTAAATACATGCTTGTCTACTTATTAACGGAGAGAAGCATGGAGATAGCATCTACACAGGGTAGCAGATCACGCCACTAGTTGATGCACAAATTTTCTCTATATCATTACTGCCCATCTGTACAATTGGGTGATCATTGCTGGCCCTTGGAAGGTCTCAACCGTCTCCAGGTTTCCACAGGACCAAGTTTCGAATTAATGTTCAGGAATCCTATGGTTACTACACAGACCACAAAGGAAACCAATTCCCTTTGTATTTTTTTTATTCACAGAATGTGGGTGTTGCTGGCCAGGCCAGCATGTATCGTTCATTCATCAGTTAAATGTCAACCACACTTCTATTGATTTGGAGTCACACGCAGACCAGGTAAGAACAGCAGATTTCCTTCCCTAAAAGACATATGAACAAAATTTTTTTTTTTTGTGTGTTTTTTTTTACAACAATTGAAAATGTTTACATGATCATCATTTGGCTGGATTTTTATTGAATTCAAACTTCACATGCATTCAAACCCATCGCCAGAACCTTAACCTGGGGTTCTGGATGAGAGGAGCTCAGGAGTGCCAATGGCACTTTTCAAAGCCTCAGACAGATAGCAATGTAGGAAGGATCCTATTAGATTTTACTCTCTGAAGAACGGCTAGTGAATGCATGTAATACCATATTGCACCATGTTCCTAATGTAAACATCTATCCTACAATACTGAACCACGCAGCTCTTCAGGTGAGTAGTTAACAATACTTGGTGGGCACTGTAGCAGCAAATGTTCTCATCCAAATCTATATTTCGATTCTGTAATGCATTCATTATTTTCAAGCAGCATTAAAGAAAACAGATCTGTCAGTGAACAAGGTTTTATTATTGGTTGCTAGGCAGCATATTTTGGTTGTGAAGTGGTTCAGAGATAGAAACCAGTGTCACAACAACAGGACAATAGTGTGGAATTAAATTTTGAAAAGGGCACACTAAGGTGCTGTGGGATGTGAGAGCATGGGTGTGTGCTGGGAATGCAATGTGCACGAGTGGGAAGTTTTGGGGAAACATGCGGTGGTGTTGTGCACATGCGGATCTGTGGCAGTGTCTGTGGAGGTATGTCCACATGTGGGGTTGCACACACAAGGCTATTGTAAGGTTGTGCGGGGTAGCATGCGTGCTTTGTGGGGATGTACACATACACGTGTGGTGCCGCGCTGATATTTTGATTTGTATTTGTGTGCTGATTTAAGGACTCCAAGAGCTTGATTAAATTCCCAAACAAGAACTGTAAAATCACTGATGCAGTGCTATATGACCTCAATGACAGCTTCACACATAATTACACTGGGTCTATCCTACACACGCGCAGAGATCAAAAGATTAATTTAGAGTTTGCACAATGTCACACCTTATCATTTACAAACCTTAAAAAAAAATTGCATGTGCCCTTATAACATCCTTCATGACCTCAGGACACCCTAAATTGTCTTAATGCCAACAAAATAGTCATGACATGCAGCCACTGTTGTAATGTGGGAAGCACGGCAGACAATTATGCAAGCAAGGTTTCCCAAATAGCAATGTCGGAATGACCAGACAACCTGTTTCGGTTGAGTTAGTTGAGGATGAACTTTTGTCAGGATATTGGAAAAACTTCCTTACTATTCTGAAGATGTGCTCCTTCATGTACACTCAAGAGGACACACATAGTTCTGGTTTAAAACTTCAACCAAAACTTGTACTCCCAACAGATTCAAGCTCTCCCTCTCTCAATGTGGCATTAAGTGTGCCAATCTAGATTTAGTATTTAAGTGCCTCAATGACTCAGATGACTCAAGTCCTTGATCTTCTATTTAAGAAGCACGTGTTACTAAGCAAGCTACAGCTGAAATGTGAACATAAACTCTCTAGGGTTCGAGGAAAACAGAGATACCGAGGAAGTATCTCTCCCAATAGCTTTGAAACTGCTTGAGGAATAAATAAGTTACAGTTTAGCACTTGAAGTAACGACTGTGACTTCATAATACAACAGTATCCAGAGTGTCAAATTCAATTATTTTTGTCCAAGAGGTCAAGAGTTGAGCACACAGTGAATGATAAAATGACACTAATACAACAGGAATCGCTTGATGTTGGCTAGAACAACATAGTCAAGGCTATGATCAATGAATGTTGCCATCAGTGATTCAAGCGAAAAGTATTTCACTGTCCAATATCACTAACTGTTTTTAAAACTCTGTGCAAAAAGCAAAATAAAAAGAAATAAGGACTTAAGAAGTTATTCAAACTCTTCCTTCATTTAATTGCTGTTTTAGAAGTGTAAAACCGGCCAGTACCTTAATGCACTATACAAAGTGGACAATGGAAGCATTTCCAACTTGTATCACTCCTTTTAGTCAGGGAGGAAACAGTTAGGAAAACCTTCTCATTCCAGCTCTTGGAATCCTGCCACGTTGCCTACCAAACTTGGAAAACAGTCTACTTATTTGACGTCAATAATAGGTCATTGGGTGCTTTCATAGGCTGCATGCAGTTATTTTACAGGAATAACTCTGCAGAGTTTGAGACTACAAGATCTCCAATCACTCAATAAGTAGATATTGTACTAGCCCTTCAGCACCAAGGACCAAAATCCAAACCTGATATTTACTGAGATAGTAGGAACTGTGGTTGCTGGAGAATCTGGGATAACAAGGTGTAGAGCTGGATGAACACAGCAGGCCAAGCAGCATCAGAGGAGCAGGAAAGCGGACGTTTCAGGTCTGGACCCTTCTTCAGAAAAGAAGGGTCTTTTTCCGAAGAAGGGTCCAGACCCGAAATGTCAGCTTTCCTGCTTGGCCTGCTGTGTTCATCCAGCTCTACATCTTGTTATCTCTGATATTTACGGAGTTACCTTCTTAACCACAGCAGCAGCTGAGATACTAAGTGTGGCCTCAGCGTCTGTGTGTTGGAAAAGAAGGAAAAAAAAATAGCTCTAATTGGTTGTGATTTGCTCCATAGTAAACTGTTTCACAACACATGTCTGGACTTGGGTGTGAAAAGGGTCATTTTGGCCACTTTCATATATAGAAGAAAACCCAGGTAAATGCCACCTTCAACTGCAGAGGGAAGAAAACCAGAACAGGGAGAATTTGAGAAATAAAAAAAAAAATGAGCAAGGAATTTCACAGTATCTAATTGACAAAACAGCAACATGAACTGCAACGGAATTGCCCCAATTTTCCAGACTAGCCCTACAGCTACAAGAGTGAAAACACAATGTTAATTGTGCTGCATACTTCTATTTTAACTGAAAAATTAGAGAAATGGCTGGTTTGTTGCAAGCATGGCAACATTAAAATCAAAACAATTCAAAACTAAATTCTTGGGGCACCACTCAGCCACCAGAAGTGCAACCAGCAGTCTTTTCCCTGTTGTTGCCCTAAATCCCAAAATTGGGCTCACTTAGGTGGGTGCCTAGACAATTTCCAACATCAATCTCTGACAGCAAATACTACCCAGGAGCATTGTCTAGGTCTTGTACGTGGAGGTGGATTCCAATCTAGTTTTTTTTTTAAACTTTCAATTTGAAGTTTCTATTTTCTTAACAGCAAATCACTCAATCTGCAATCAATCGCCTTTAGCAAAATACCTTTTGAACTATTTTGGCCCCATTCCCACCAGGATCTGATCCAGGCACAAAAATACTTAAACTTCCAAATGAACCATTTGCTGGCAGAACCGGCATAATTTCTAACTGTTGGCATCAGAAGAGCCAGGGCTGGTGGAATGGTGCTGCATACATGGTATTGGTGAGCACAGAAAGGATCTGTTCCCACTCCTTGAATCATTTGGGATATAGAAAAGAGGTGTATGGATTCAGCAGAACCCCTCACAGTCACTTTTGTTAGCTTTTAATTACATTTATTTAATAATTTTTGGCACACTCTTTTCTGCAAATGAAACAAAAACAAATGTTGTACAATTACTACAGTCCTTTACTTAGCCAACCAACCTACACTGCTACTTTTAAATTTAGTCTGTTTCTCCTTCTAACTTCAAAGGGAATTTCATACCAATTACGATACAGTTAACTTCTATGTATTTCAGTGACAAGTTAAAATCCCTCAAAGCAACCCTGGAGTACTAAATTACACACATCAAAAGCACAAGCGAACAAGCTGTTTCGTTGCAACTAAAAAAATGGATCTGCAGGATACAGCTCAACTTTCCAGCCTCCGAGCTTTTTCTCTTCAAAATATTTCCAGACAACATTGTTCTTGAGCAGTCATGACCCAATAAGGCGTGCAAGATATTCACAATCAGTTCACAGGTCATTTAACAAGAACAGTAATTCTTTCTTGAAATATGCCTCATCAAGCTGGATCTTTCTGACCATTACCCTGTAGAGTTATGTCCTTCTGTCCTTGCCTAGGGACAAGGATGATGTTCATATTGTCATAAAGCTTTTGTATTGAAGCCACTAATGTTCTGCTCAGTAAAGTTTCTATATCATCTGTAGCAGCTATTGTTTTCAACTTCTCTTGAACAGACAGGCTAATAATCATGTTAATATAATCTAATATATACCTACAATGTCAAAT